AATAAAAAAAAAAAAAAAAAAAAATATATATATATATATATATATATATATATATATATATATATATATATATATATATATATATATATATATATATATATATATATATATATATTAATATACCCGTGCCCGTACTTCTGAAACTAACAGACGAAAATATCTTTTAAAAAAGAGTAAAGGTTCTGTAAACTTCACGCTCGACTCTACCGGTAGTATGAATTGATGCTCAGATTGTACTTTACGCCAGAGGATATACACACGTATAAAACATAAAAGTCCTTGGACTGAAGTTGCGTAGCAGTAAGCACATAATCCTCGGTGTACATGATTAACATTACTAATATGATGTACAGGCCATATTTCATAATATGTTGGTTTACATGGAGGTCACATAGCTATTTTTCTTCATTATCACAAAACGAAATATGTATTCATTGAACACAATAGCCCAGTTTTTTTCCTCAAATCATATTCCAAAAGATAAATGCAAAATTGGTATTCTTTTGTGAGGCTAAGAGAGAAATAAGCTAGACACACACGTAATTTGTATCGGCTGGCCTAATGCCAGTCGAAGCTTGCATATTAACTCAGTATTTTGAACTCCGCTCTATTTGGACAGAGTCACAGGTCCTAGAATGGCTGTCTTGGTACGCGCCATTTTCTTTGCGCTGATAGTTGCTGTCGTAGGGGGATTGGGATATCCTAGAATATGTATTCCAGATACAACTCCCTTGATTAAGGGATTCCGAAAGTTGGATGTAACTAAGGTAAGTGCATGAATGAGGCTATTCAGAATGAGAGTAGCCGAGTACTAGCTAGGCCACGACCTAAATATGGCGGACCTACATGAAAGGAAGACTTAATCCTGCAATATAGTCTCTCCGTCTCTCACACGGCTCCCCACTCGTCGTCCATCGACCGGTTGAATTGAGCCGATATTTAATTACTGGGGAGGTGTGTGAGAGGCGGAGAGACCATTAAAGGAGTACGTGGTCTTCCTTCCATGTAGGTCTGCCATATATAGAGGGACATTTACAGTTGTACATCGGCATCATCTGAGACTGTTTGGGGGGGGGGGGGGGGCGCAATTACAAGGAATAAATGTTACTGGTTTACAGACTCACACGGTTTACTCTACGTCTTAAAATCCAACATGTACAATGTAGCAGGAAAAAGAAATGAAAATTAGCAAGTCCGAATATTCATTTTGATCAAGATACTGGTATATGGTTTAATAATTGTCACCTTGATTTTACGGCGGAAGTCAAAGAATTTGGTTTGCAGTTTGAGTCTGTATCATTTGCCAGCTACTGTATTATGTTTAAGCAGATACAGGCTGATGGCACATACGTCCACTTTGTAGTGGGCTTAAATTGTTAAATCGTCACCTAGCACAAGAAACTTAAACTGAAAAAGAGTAAGGTATTTTTTTTAATATTTGCCCTGCCATTAGTTTCAAGATCGGAGTCTGAGATAAGCATCATCTATAAATTATAAGGCATCCATTGTAGGTAGAAAGTTTTTAACATATTTGCTGCTTTTACTGTATAAGTAGAACTATAGAGTAGCCTGTTTTTCTCATTTGTTGCCCGTTGATTGTTGTGAAAAATAAGTCTGGAATATTTTGCTCCGCTTTTTTCGAGTGATGTGCAATTTTTAGGTTAGATCTAGAGATCAAAATATCTTTTTCCAAACTATATTTACTGACGAGAGATATTGCGATGTGATTAAGACATTTTTTTTTTCAAATTTGTGACAAGAGAGCTATTGCCATTTTTAATCACCTGTTTGCAAATGATAGGAATAGACAAGGAGAAGGACCTAACATCGTTTGCATTTATTTCTAGCTTACGGGCATCTGGTATAGTTTTTTGTGGAGACGGAACCCCATGGTGCCGGACGACCGTGTTTTATCGGAATACACCGCCTACGTTACCGCCGGCAAAGATGGAGCATTTTCCTTTCATATCAGAGCGTTGCCGTACGTACAGTAATTCAGTAAATTATATAAATGGGGCATATAATACAGCCATATCAATTTAACGAAACAAATGTAACATATCACACGGTTTTACAGCATATTTGGTATAAAGGAGTGGTGTGTTCCCACTGTTAGTATACAATAATAAGGACAACGTTATGCCGCGTCTTCTCCTATATATTTCCCCACGTTGAAATAGAGTTACTGGTATTTTATGAGCGTGTTTATGTATGTTAAACGAATAACTATGGAGAACACCAGTCAATAATTAATGCAAAGACATAAAATTTTATTGCAACACCTGTGTTGAAGTTACTCTACAATGAATAATTTATCTCTGGGTCATTTACTGCCATCAAATGAAAAGGGTTTCAATCCTCCCGATTCCATTTTATTAAAGAATAGAAAAGCTTCCAAGTATTTTCCTTATAAAGAAGACGCATGTTAGGCTCAAATGTTATGCATGAACCAAGGAGCGGCTACATACCAGTTGATAAATGAATAATAAAACTACCCCACGCTGATATTATATTATATTATATTATATTATATTATATTATATTATATTATATTATATTATATTATGTGTTAAAATAACACTGCAGCTGCCCTTTTCTACAGTATTAAAGAACAGACAGGTACACCGGTATACAGGTGAAACATACCGCTTATACTTTAAGAAAAGGCAACAAAAGCAACACAGCAACAACAACAATAATAATAATAGTAAAAATGACACCAAATGATTTCCTTTTCACGGTTGTTAGATTTGAAATGGTTATAGTCATTTTGTAGGTGGGGGTCGGAGCAGTTTAGAAAAAAAGCCGCATTGAACATGTATCATAAAATATCCTTTTTACAAATAAATTATTTGCATATTACTTTCATCTTAGGAAAGACGGACAAAAGTGCACAGACATCAACGAGGCTTCAAGCCTAGTTCCTACAGGGAATCCAGGGGACTTCTCCTTTGGTCCATCAGAGAGTGAGTTATTCTTTAATCATCAAGAAAAATTAACTTTGTTCCTTATTTTTTTCATACTATGGGTCATTTGTTTCTGACATTTGTTTAAAAAATCGCGTTTTTAGGTAATTCAATTTTGCGTTGTTAACAGGATTTATTAAAGGGTCATTACCAGTAAAGTTAGAGGAGACCGGGGCTAGTTGGACCCCTGGGTAAGTTGGCCAGGCATCATTTTCTGAAAAAGTAACTATGGGATAAAAAAATGATCACATCATTTTGTAAATTAAAGTGACCGTATCAAAATTTCGTTTAATATTATCATTAAGGCGCTGAGTCCGAATGAAAGAATTCTGCATCTTAAAGTACCCGTATTAAAGAAATATTAAAATGTACTTTTATAGGCTTTTGATCTAATATAATATATGTATAGGGCATCAAACTAAAGCTCATCGTTTCAATTTCACAGTAAGGTTCAATCTATGTTCATTCTAGCACCAACATTGCTGCAAACCTTTAAAACCAAAATGTGCACCCGGGGCTAGTTGACTCCCTTGACTCGGGGCAAGTTGGACCCTCAATTAGCCCACAGTCCTTTGCGCGCAACACAGCTACAGACCATTGTTAAAACAAATTCAGTGGTTTGTTAAGTTATTACCAGTTTTAGACTGAATCTGTGAGTTTCTTTAAATACCAAAACTTATTATTCGTTTTTCATTCATTAAAAAACTGTTTTAAAGCGTTATTAGTTTATTTTCAATTAAAACAAAACAAGTTTAATTAATAAATATTTTGGTTCTTCCAACACACAACGTTACGTACAGAAACCTCAATATACACTCTCATGTCCTCCTCATTTGAACTACTTATTCATCAAAGACTCAAAAATCAACTTAATAAAATCATGTCGTTTACATGGGATACTAACTGCATTTTCGTATAAGGTGCCAACTGAAGTCAATTACGTTTTTTGTCAGATTGTGAGCCATCTGGCATTATATCTAAAAATAATGACGCACGTTGCATACATGTACGTAGTTTAGTTTAACCCGGTTTTGTTGCTCTAATCCATTCCCAGTTGGCTCTTGAAGGCCACAAGTGTATAATTGGGTCACTTAGCCCCGCTCTCCCATATCCGTTCTACATAGATCAAACTGGGCTTGAACTCTCGCTGAATGCAATCAGATAGATAGATTAACACGCCTCCTGATGCTGTCAACACGCATAAAATCAGCAGCTTTCTATGTATTCTACTCGACGCCCAGAGCAAGTGTGTCAATCCCTTAATCCGTTTGCATGCAATGAGAGTCCCCGCGCAGTTGGATCAATCTACGTATAACGTAGAACGATAGTTTCAATGGGAATGAGCCCTAAGACTTTTTAACTATGACAGATGACTTTGCGATATTAATATTGGAGCATTACACTAGCTATCCATTCCAAATAGATGCAAAAAAAAAAAAAAAAAAAACATTCCTAGGTTGCCTTTGGTCACAACATAAGATACACAGTGGATAAGAATATTGTCTCAAGGCTTAAGTTATGTTCAACATAACAAATTAAAATAAAATAACCGAAATAATATTTCTTAAAATGGTACAACAGCTTTTTAATCGGTCGATACAATTTGGAGATTTTGCTAAGTCGCATTCCAGACTCTATAATTGGGTACCATTCCTTTGCAGGCAACAACCATTTCAAGATCATCGACACGGACTACACCAACTATTTGTTGGTACTCAGGTGTTACGGGGAGGATAAGCAAGGAAGGTGTCAGAGAGACGCCATTCAGCTTTGGAGCCGCCGTGTTGGCCTGGACCCGATTTACGTATACTCCGGAATGAAGAACATTGCCCAGCGACTGTGTAAAACGTTTGAAGGGTTCCGTTTTAGTGTACACAAGTTAGGTGAATGTGTTTGGGTTTAGGCATGTATACTATTTTCCCCGCCGTAGTTTAACGTTATCGGCAGTAGGGCCCACGAGGAGTGACCATGACCATGGGCGATGTCCAAAAGCTCTCAAAAATTTCTTCAACAAATTTGAGTCGTGAGCATCGGTTTTAATCCTTTATACATGAAATGTTTTGAAATGCATTAATCAATCTAGTTTTTATTTTTTCTTTCTAATTTTTTCCTTATTTCACTTGACTTGCTTTGCTGCTGCACTAGTATCATGAAATCTATACCATGTGGTCGTCACTCTTTGCTATTTACTTACCTTCTGACTTCTTAATTCTTTTTCTTCTAATTGCTTATTGCTTATTAAAATGTTACGTAGTCAATTCTATAAGTTTGTATTTAAACTGAAAGTTATGTAAGCTTTTTTTCTAGGAAATAATCAAATGCTAATATTATAATATTTATTAACATTTAAGTCAGGGAACAATGCTTCTCAGATAGCTTTTGTGTGTTACATGGTATTAAACCTATGCGCATTTCATTTATATAGATAGCCAAACATGCGTTCATTTTGAAATAACAAATCGAACTCTGTTTCAGCTTGTCAACTACGGGAGTAGGTCACCAAGAAATAATCTGCAGTGAGCCTCGCTGGCTATTATCCACCCTTACTGTACGCCATAGCGAGCCAGCTTCGAGCATGAAACAAAGCTTCTGCCAAGTCAGTTGAAATACTAGCGTTATTTCTTATTAGACTATAAATGCCATTATATAAATTAAATTGGTGTCCCAAGAAAGCATCAGAGAAAGATGAGTGTACACCTTATGCTACAAAACGATCAACATATTCAGTAAAACGACTAGGTTTCCTCGTTTTTTTTTCACAATTTCTTTGATTTAATACTTTGTACTATCTACTACAAAACTGTTTCATAAACCTACATGTAGGTGTACTAAAACCACTGAGCGACTAGTGCTATATATTCGGAAGTCTTTTTCAGCTTTACTTTGAAATAAAAACAGCTTATTGAAATTGTAAGTTATTATGGTTATCATTCTGAAGAAAAAAAATACCCAATCCCATTTTTTGTGCACTTTTTAGTTCTCCATGGACTTCTGTTACCTCAGAAATAACAACTGCTTTCTTCTAGAGCTCACTGATAGATGGGTCTCTTAGGGTCTCGCTAAAACAAAATCACGCCTGTTGTGAACCGCCTTTGATCCACTTGTACTCTTTAATATCATGGGTAAATCCAATGATATTTTGTATAACTATTTTTAAATATATGTACAACGTTGACTGCTTGTGGTCTTGTAAATTGTGAATATTTTTTCAGTAAAGTGTTTTTTTCCTTTTCTTGAAAAATTGCAAAAGTTAGCACTTTATGTCATTTGATATTAAAGATTGTTGTGAACAACTTTCTCACTTTAAGAAGTTGTGCTTTCAAGTACATTTACAATATTTTTTTTTACATGATTTAAGGTTTGTCTGAATATCTCTCAAGCACAATCTATCATGAAAATCAAGAATCAACGATTTTTTCATCTAGCGCATTTAGCTCAATTGTAGTCTCATCTAACACAGCAAGAGATTTGATTTGATTTCATGCATATGCATTCATTGAAACAGTAGAAACATGATGGACTGAAAATAAAGGCACATGTCTATTCTGGATTTGTTGTCTGATTCATAAAATACACAAATCAGTTATTTATGTCTATTGAACTGGAAACATGATATACGGTGTTGATTTAATGAGGGGAAAAACAGTTACGCATGCCTTTATTACCTGCAAAGCGTATTCTACTGTGAAATGGATCTCTCCGTGTATTTATATCTATACCATTTCCAGTAACACACTGTGTTGCAGAGGACGTTGTAAACTCTCTGAAGTTGGCTCTTAAGAAAGGAAAAAGACCAAATCGCTTTAGGCTGTAGGGGAGAAAGCTTTAGATTTTCCTTTCTCCCAGACCATCAGAAGTGTAAGGTTTTTCGTCCATCATCGTTATGTAGAGTGCCACAGTCTGTACAGGTAATAACCTACTTGCACGTACACGTAGGCCTCCTATGATCCTCAATTACCATTGTTCAGAGGACACCGAGAGTTTTGACAGAGTTTAGATTCAAATATCGTACCACCTGGATCGATCCAGCTCTGCTAAAGTGCATTCACTGTAATCTGATTTATAGTGACACGCCTCCCGTGTAGCTAATGAATTAGTTAATTACTCCCCAGCAACCAGATGAGGCGTGTCAGACATTTAAGTCGATTGCAGCTCTCTCTCTCTCTCTCTCTCTCTCTCTCTCTCTCTCTATATATATATATATATATATATATATAATAGACTGTAAAACCATACACCCATAGCATACACATGTCCACTGTATCAGAGACGACTGGAAACATTGTAGACAGTCGACACCGATAATACGTGCTCTTTAGCAAGTTTACAAAAGAAATGGCAAACGTTTCTTTTCAATAGTTGTGTTTCATTTTCAGCTTGTGCGTGCCTTTAGTTAGTTGAATCATTCTCTATGTTTTTCATATGTTATTGCATAAACAGGTACCAGTATGCACTGACAGAATTTGACAGTTTGATTCATATGCAGGTATATAACTGCTATGGATTTTACGCAAGACTAGACTGGTTGAAGTGTCACCCGTTGACGATTGTGGAATAACCATGTCTGACATTCCGTGCGCCGTCTTCCTCGTTTTCTGTGTAGTTTCTTGTCAAAGTTTCCCTAAAGGTGAAGTGAAACATTGTAATCCTCGTGGAATGCAGAATCTAGAACCGGAAAAGGTGAGCAGATAGTTAAAGGCAGATAGATGGCCTAATCAAGGGATGACTTCCTTGTTTAATCACCATGTTCTTATTCATTTATTCATTAAAGGTAGTGTGTCTTTAAATACAAGCACATGTTTAATGATTTTCGATAATTAATTCTATTTTGTCGAGTGGCTTATTTCTGATTTTCGTTCACAGAATGAGTAATTTATGTTTTTATATCATTATAACTCCAAAACCGTATTTTCGTTTGTATTCAAACTACTATTATTAATAAGGTGCTTTAATGGTAATTTATAAAGGCGAGCCTGAGTTTGCTAACAAACATCATTAGTTTTTAGGCTTTTGTGTTGTAAAAAGGCAGGAACCCAGTACGATTGGTTTATTTTCAGAAAATTTATTGGCACATTTTTGGTGTTTTGTAATTCTATTCTTTATGTATTTTTATGCATTTTTCAACCCAATACGTCTGGCATTGTATAAAGGATGTAACGCTAAAAAGTATATTATAATTGTATCTAATTTATTTTAGGCTACTGGAAGTGAATTTTCCTATCCTGTGATTAAAAGATACATGTGTCAAATTATCAATCTGCATTTGTGCATGTCATTTAAGTGCAGGGTATTTTGTCAATTGAAGTTAATCTTGTTTTCTAAGACATCCTTGTGATTTCAGTTGAATCTGAACTTTTCAACTGCCCTGTAGCTATTCAGCTTTCAATTGCCTCCATATCCCACTGCTTGCATGAACTTTTTATACAAATGTGGCGATTGTTTTTCCAATAAATTCCTGCCTATTTCTACCTTTCAGCTTTGGACAAAACGTGCCTTATCAACAAAATATATGCGTTGTTATTGTTCAAAATAGATAAATATATTTTTCTACGCATTTTGTTTGTTCGCAAATTACTACGGCTACCATAGCTTTTAAGTTTATTAGAAATACCACAGCTCGCACGCACGTTACAGTTTCTGTCAGTAACTTGTTCCTAATGTCAGTGTCACCTAAATTATTTTTAAATCTAATACTGCAGGCTTATACTTTTGTCTCGTTGATTAGTATTTTTTTTTTCTTGTTAACAAGACCAAACTCTAAGTTCAGAATCAGATTCAAATAAACTTCCTTTTGGTGAAAAAGGACTGGGGTGACTAGCATTCTTACTTATAAAAAAGATTATTGTGTCCAGTTAGTAACAACGTAAAACATTGCTGATGTACCAACAAAGTGATTTTGAATCAAAAGATTGTCAGAAAACAACAAGAGATTGTGACCAGTGAAAACCTTTTATATATATATATATATATATATATATATATATATATATATATATATATATATATATATATATATATATATATATTATAAGTAATTAAGATACATGGGGGTTGACCAAAGCACGTACATATGATATAAGAGTATATTTCATTTCTAGCTGACAGGCATCTGGTACGGTTACCTATGGCGACGCCATCCCATGGTGCTGGATGACCGTGTTTTAACGGAATACGCTCCCTACGTAACAGCGGCCGAAAATGGAACTTTGTCAATCCTTATCGAAGCGTTGCCGTACGTACATCATTTCAGTAAATTGAATATGAAGCCCTTGCCATTAAAACGAAACGTTTTTTTTTTCAGTAAATAAATATCAAAAGATAACACATACTGCAGCCCTTATCATTTAAGCGAAAGTAATGTACCGTATTGTACAATAACTCGACCAGGCCAGTATACATGTAGCAACATTTTGGCATAATGAAACGACGTGTCCCAAAGTGTTATTATACAATTAGAAGGGCACCAGCATGACGTATTGCTTCCAATACATTTATTTTACATGAAATAATACGAATTTTCTGTATTGATAGCAGACACCTCCTTATATCAAACACCCAAACCCAGTATAGAGGCGCAACTGAGGTCACATGCATGCTGTTAAAATATGTATATTGCACAGATTGCAAATTGTGCTTGATTTATTTAGCGTCCCACATAAAGAGGTTTGTATTAAAGTTCACTTTCCTGGGACCATTAATAATAATAATAATAATAATAATAATAATAATAATAATAATAATAATAAATCATAGTTTTATCCCAAAAAGGAACATACGTTATTATCACAAAATTAAATCATCGCTGGTTTTGTTCTTTGATTTATCTCATCCAAGTATAACGTTGAAAAAAATTATAATCATATTCTGTATAGAGCAGTTAATTGTTTTTGAGCGACTTTAGTTTGCTTGTCACTGGATATTAAAAAACGGGGAAAATACACCCTAACGACAGTAAAATAAGCATTTAATAAGTTATTTTTCCCCTTGTGATTCAAACTTTATATCAAACTATCATGGAATCACAACGGCCTGGTTTCATCAAGGCTGGATAGCGCTATCCTACGGATAAAAATGGCTGCTATCATCTGGATAGCGCCATCCAGAGGATAGTGCGTTTCATCAACAGTGGATAGCGTTATCCAGGGAATAAATCAGCTTACCCAGAGGATAAAGTTGTCTGCTCGAAATAGATGGGATAAATCATCAAAAATAGCGCACTTGCTTACTTTGGGAGTAAGTCCGATTAGATTTTACAGGCGTAGAATGATTAGAATGAGAATTTTAGAAGAAGTGTGTTTGCTTTGATGGTTTGATTGATACTGAATCAATAGATTACATAACAGACTTTATCAAAGTTGACATCACGCCTGCTACGAACAGAGCCCATCCAATCTCCGCGAGCGAGCAATTATATTTTATTTTACTAAAGCATACCTTTTAAATCGACGAAAAAAAAATCTACATTGCTATTTACAGAATCTGCCAAACATTCCAAGTCAGCCATTTTGTTAAAAAGTATGTCACGACCTAGCTCTTCAACTGCAAATTGTAAACATTGCATGAGGCACAACTAATGCAATGTAGTCTGTTTTTGACACTGACACTAAAATATCCTGTAGATATTATTCCGATTATTTTAATGAATGTGCCATCTAGAAATATACTTACTGTATATTGTTTATTATGGGTTATTTATTTTCCAAATAAGATATAGATCACTTTTTTGTTAGCAACTATCATGTCTCTTATAATATTTATAGCAACCAACTGAATTATGGGAATGTATTTTTCCAAATATGGCATTGGATACATTTTTATCCACTGGATTACTATCATGCTGTTTATCCAGCCTTCGTGAAACACAAATTTATACAGAGGATAACTATCCAGAGGATAAAAGACTTATACCACGGATAGTGTTATCCATAGGATAGCCAATCCAGCCTTGATGAAACCGGGCCAACATGTTTTTCGGTCAGCAACAGAAAACACTGTTTTCTATTGCACTGAGTACTTGAACAAAATGAACCTTTTTGACATTTTTTTCTAGGGAACATACGTTACCTAATATTAGCCATGACGCAAAGCCCTTTGATGTACAGCTTAAATATTTATAAAAACATCCTTAGATCATGTATAATATACCATGACTGAATCACTCCAAAACATTAAAATTAAATGACCCGGAACATACGTTACCATTTAGGGCTCTTTGAGTAATGTAAAGACATGGTGAAATTTTTAATTCGAATTTAAATTGAGACAGTTGTGGGTTTTTGTTCTATACACATACGTGTTTTTAAAAATTGAATTTAACTTTGAATTTATTCAATTTTATTTTTGGACACTCCAACGTGTGCAATGCACCTCTATATTTGGTTTGGGTGTAAAGCGAACACATATTTTTCTACTAAAGAGCGAATAATTCCTTGGCCTCTTACTGTCACCAAAATTTAATTATCCCCTCCCAAAATTTCTTTATTTTGCCCATGGTCAGATTGGAAGGTTCTCCACATGCGTAAAATGTACTTTGGCGCAATTGAATAAAGGCAGATAATAATACATGCAGTGAAGCTATTCCAATTTGGTGTTGAAGAATAAATGGATGTGTTGCTTTTTTTCTTTTTGCTTGAATTTATGTCCAGCGCCAATGTTTTTCTCCTCTCGCTTTATTTAGATTGCACTAGAATTTCATAAGGTAAAAACACATTGCATATACCTTTTCCCATGGTTATAAAACAAAGACGTGTGGTGATCTTCATTCTATAAAAGAAAAGGTTGCAGTGTAGAATTATACTGTATTGTATACTTGACAAAGAATATCCTAAAAGTAAAGTGTGTTTCTTTCATTTTAGGAAAGACGGACAAGCGTGCATAGTTATCGATGAGCTTTCTAGCCTTCAACCCACAGGGCAGTCTGGGGTATACGCCTTTGGCCCACCAGAGAGTGAGTTATTCTTCTAAATTTTCAAATAATGGCATATTAGAAGGATAACGTTAACTGACCCAAAAGTAATTACTGTCTATTCGTCGATCGATATATTTTGGAGATTTCTCTAAGTTGTATTTCAGATTTAATACCTGTTTCTTGTCCCTTTGCAGGCAACAACCATTTCAAAATCATCGACACGGACTACATCAACTATTCGGTGGTACTCGTGTGTTATGGTGAGAAAAGGCAAGGGTGGTGTCAAAAAGACGCCATTCAGATTTGGAGCCGTCGTGTTGGCCTGGATCCGATTTACGTTTACTCCGGAATGAAGACCATTGCCCAGCGACTGTGTAAAACGTTTGAAGGGTTCCGTTTCAGTGTACACAAGTTAGGTAAATAGTTTTGGTTTCAGGTATATTTATATATATATATTAATTTCCCCTTGTAGTATAACGTTATAAGCAGTAGAGCCCAGGAGGAGTGACCATAGGAGTGACCATGACTTGACTTGCGTTGCTGCTGCAGCAACCAGCAGCATTAAACCCAGACGTTCTTTGCTATTTACTTACTTCTTTACTTTTCTTTCTTTCTTTCTTCCATACCTTCTTAATCTTCTTATTATTATTATTATGACCGTGTAATTTTTTTCTTGATATTTTACGTAATCAATTCTTTAAGTTAAACTGAAAGTTTTATAAGCCTTTTTCTAGGAAGTAATCACATGATAATATATAATATTTACTAACATTTTAGCCATGGCACGTGGCTTCTCCGATAGGTTTTGTGCGTTACACGATATTAAATCTAAGCCCATTTCATTTATATAGATGGCAAAACATGTGCTTATTTTGAAATATCAATTCGAATTCTGTTTCAGCCTGTAACCTCCGAGGGCAGGTAACCAAGAAATAATCTGAAGTGAGCCTCGCCGGCTATTATCCACCCTTACTGTACGCAATAGCGAAGCAGCTCCGAGCATGACACAAAGTTTCTGACTAGTCAGTTGAAATGCTAACGTTATTTCTTATATGACTATGAATGCCATTATATAAATTAAATTGGTGTATCAAGAAAGCAGAGAAAGATGAGTGTACACCTTGTACTACAAAAACGATCAATATATTTAAAAAAAACCGACTAGGTTTCCTCGGTTTCTTTACAATTTCTTTGATTTAATACTTTGACCTATATGCTACACAACTGTTTCATGAACCTAGGTGTACTAAACCACTAAGCGACTAGTGCTTTTTATTCGGAAGTCCTTTTCAGCTTTACATTGAAATAAAATCAGCTTATTGAAATTATTAGTTATTTTGGTTATCATTCTAAAGAGAAAAAAGGCCCAATTCCATTTTTGTGCTCTTTTTTACTTTCTCATTGATATGCGTTACCTCAGAAATAATAACTGATTTTTTTTTTCTTAAGCTGAATACATGTAGATAGATAGCTAGATAGATAGATAGAAAATATACCCAGCAATCTTAATTTTATGCAGGTTCAACAATATATAACAGGGCCGTAGCCTGAGCAAAATGCCAGGGGGGGGGCAGTAAGCGGACATGAGGGGGCGAAANTCGAAGCTCTGAGGCAGGCCACCAAGAATCCACCAGCGAGCATGCAGGATGCAGTGGTAAATGGGTGTGCCATGAACAAGGCCAGTCGCCCCAGAGTAGGGCCAAGAGTTCTCCGCAAACGCTGAGCTCTCTCTTCCAACAGACTTATTTTTTATTTTATTGCCTTATGATTATTAAATTATTGTATAAATTTGGATTTTGTATAAAAAATATGGCAGCTGTGCTGCAATTATTTTGTCACACATGGAAATTAGCTTTTCTTTTTTGGATAAAATTATTTCATCAGAATGGAAAAGTCATTTATAGAATCACTATAATATGGATTTTCACATATAAATTATTATTTGTTGTGCTTAATTGTAAAGTTATGGAATTTGAATTGATGAAAGTTATTATTTAGTTTAAGGTCCAGTGGTGTACGTGCTAAATTGTAGTTTTGGAATTTATTCAAAATTATGTAGTTCAGTGCGGTTCTAAATTGTAGTTACGGGATTTGATGAAAATTATGTAATTCAAGGTTCAAATAGGTTCTACTTTGTATTTATGACATATGATGAAAATTATGTAGTTCAAAGCAAGCAAGGCCATAGAGGCAAGCTTGATTGTCTAGAATATAGTAGTTTTTGTGCAGTTTTTCACTACAAAGCACACTGTCATCAGTTAAGATTGTATGTGCTAGTGAACATGAGAAATCACTGAAGACTTAGTATAGAGCTGATAAACCGGCAATTGGCCTTGAAAGTTGACTTATCTGAACTATTTTACTACTGTCAACTATGGGGAGTAATAACACAAAGACAAGGGCAACGTCAACAGCCATGTCCTTTTAGTCCCATTAAGCCACAAATGGACAGGGAGATAAAGCAAAAAGAACTCCCTGCAAATTAGCAAATAGCTGTCTGGCTGAAATACATGTACCAGTAAGCCATAACATCTACAGTACAACATCAAGAAAATGTTATGTAGAGTAACAAACACAACTGGCTGAAATGTCTAACACAATAAAGACTGAGGACAGAAGCCCTAGGAGATATAAGACTGGAACTTCAAGAAAAATGTGATCTGCTTCTTTGGAGATCCATAATGTACGTGAACAACTTTCAAATAAAGAGAAGCATTTTAGGGCTTTGAAAAAGACTCACAACATGCTTAAGAGGAAGCAATTATAGCAATTCTCATGAACATCAGAAAACTGAAGACTTATAAGAGGGTGGATATAAACCTGCGATTGGCCTTATAAGTTGACTTTTCTTAACTTTTTTAACTCCGACAACTGTGGAGAATAAAGACACAAAGCAGTCACTTCCTCACTGTCCCTTCAAGACACAAATGGACAGGGAGATGAAGCAAAAAGAACTCACTGCAAAGTAGCAAACAGAAGTCTAGATGAAATCAGCCATAACATCCACAACATCATGTACAGCAACAAATACATTGTACTACTGGCTGAAATGTCTGATACAATTAAGAATGCAGTAGGGGAAGCCGTAGGAGATATAAGAATGGAATGAGGTGGGCTTCTTTGGAGATCTATGATGTACAAGAACAACTTACACCTGTAAAGATAAAGAGATTGGGTATAGGGCTTTGAAAACCCATTATAGAAGCCCAATGAAGATCAAACAGAAACAAACAATATCCGTGCAAGATTCACAGAAGTTTTTAATTTTAATTTTGTAATTTTTTGGAAACTATGTAGTTCAAAGTTCAAAAAGGTTCCATGGTGTAGTTATGGAATTTGATAAAAATTATGTAGATGAAGGTTCAATGAGGTTTTAAATATGAGTTATGGAAATTGCTGAAAAAATGTATATAGTTCAAAATTCAAAAAGCTTCTTGATTAAAGGTAAAGAATAAAACATTTTTTTTTTTAACTTATTCACCATCAGTCTCTTAATCTAAATTTTTGAGAGTATAAAGTAATTTGAGTACCACCTTTGAATTTCTTGATATATTCACTAGGTAGATAGTTACTGGAATATAGTCTGAGATTGATAAAATTAATGGTATTATTGGAACACCCGGAAGCCATGTTAAATAAAAAGTGATATGTTATTTCATGTATTAGTTAATCTGAAAGGAATAGAAAAATAGGGATGTTCAAATAATGGCTGCAAAAATTAACTTATTTTTGAGAATTTTGAATTTAAAAGATAATAATTAAGATCCTGATATTACACAGTGTATTTTAAGAAAGGATCTGTTAAGAAAAGAATTATATTGTATTTAATGGAAGGTTCTATGTTTATTTTGACCCTTGGCAAAATCGTTTAGAATAGAAACAAAACAATATTGTAGGTATGCCAAGAGAAAAGATGAGCAAAATATTTTTTTAATTAGAATTAAATTTGGTAAGAAAATGAGAGTTGAAACAAATATAAACTTATGTTTTCAACTTAAAATAAAGAGAGAAACTAGTTGAAATTCTCCAGCTTGTGTATAGGCACAAAAAATTAGCATATTGAGTAATTAAAGCTTAAAGCAGATAAGAAAATATGCTAGTTTACAAATTATAAAGTGTTGGAATTAGTGGTAACCACAAAATTTGAAATATTTAGACCAAACAATGTATTGTCATCAAAGATAAGAGAATATTTATCATATCTACAATGAGATTGAGTACATGTGTCAAGAACAGAAAGTGAAATAAAAAACATGCGGATTTATGGATTATAAGTTATAGGAATAAGTTATCACCACAAAATGCATTAAAATTAGAAATATATAGGCCAAACAAGGTATTAATGTCAAAGATTAGAGGGAAATTCATTATATAATACCAAAAATCAGTTTGAGTATTTTCATGAAAGCGTAAATGAGAAAATGTGTTAGTTTATAATTTTTGACTGATTAAAGTCAATTCTGAAATTATAACAAACGAGTTATTGCTTTCAAAATTACGAGAATATTTATAATATCTATATTGTGTTATTGTATAAGAGAATATTTATAATATCTATATTGTATTATTGTATAAGAGAGTATTTGTTTTATCTGAAATCAGTTTGAGTGTTGATAACAAAGAGTAAAAAAGAAAACGTGCCAGTTTATAAAGTTTTTAATATTAGTTGTTATCACATAGTATATTACAACTAAATATTCATGTCAAACAAGGTATTGTCACCAAATGTAAGAGGATTTTTTTTAAATATATGAATAGTTAAGGCAATGGTCCAAGAATAACTACATGTAGTACACTTAAAATTTTCAACAATTATTTTCTTTATGGAAGTGTTCTACAGGTACCAACAAACTTGAAGCAATGTGATAAGACGGCTTCTATTCAGCCGTATTTATTTATTTATTTTATTTCATTTCATTTTTTTTTTTTTTTTTGTGACATAATTCAATATTTTAACCAAAATTTAATGAAATGCGTTATGTCAAATTATTCTTTTTATTTAAGTTCTTTATGCACGTGTTGATCCTCGTAAGGATGGTCACATGGCATTATCGTTTTATCTAGAAAGCAACGATTGGGCCGCGTTCACAACCACGGCGCGTGACGGAAGCGGGAATCCATTGTCAAGTGCGCGCCATATTTGATCCGTGAACTAGTTATTCCACGGAACAACTGGTTGTGAACGCGCCCTTATACTCCTCCCAGGTTGTGCATTGATTTTAAAGTGTGGTTCATAGCGGAGGACTGATATTATAGGTGAAAAATGTGCAGATTTAATGGTTGCATTACTGAAAATATTTATGTGGACAGTTGACCATGAAGATTAAGTTTTAATTGTATAGAGTTAGGTTATTATTCTATATGCCGGCGGTGCGTTTCGTTAATGTTGTATGTGGTAGAAATCGTCAGTACGTGAAGGGTTGGTATAGAACGTTACGAAGGCTATAAACACCGCGGTGATAGATGTACATGTACATGTACATGTACTTATTGTGGCATTACTGGCGCCTTGCAGGGATGCTAGATCTTCAAATGTATTGGTGCATGAATTAAGAGTAATAAAATTTTGTTAATAATATATGGCGTACACTATTTATTTCTTTAGTCTGTAATCAGTTCAATCTTTGAGCTTTGATTCATTCTATACATGGACAAAATTACGAAGTCAAATTTGTCCATGTAAGTCCGCTGGGCCTCTCGGTAAATGCAATCAGTTTAACAGATTAACACGCCACTCTTGTTTTCAACGCTACACCAAATATTTAAAAACCGGTTAAATTGACGACAAACGGAGACGCAGCTTAAAAGCAGAAGCACGTGGAGAGGTGAACAAAACAACGAAAAGGAATTTTTTGCTCTAAATGTGATTAATTTTGTTGCACTTTTATATTGTTAATTGATTTACACAGAAGAAACGCGGAAAAGCTATTTTCACCCATGAGAGGTATTTTCTAACAGTCTTCCAAATTATCTTTGTTGAACCATCCTCTACTTTTGACCAACTTCCGACAGAAAAAAATTAGATGACAGTCAATGTAAACTTGGAAATTTTGATCGTCTTCCAAGAGACCCAGAAGACGGCTTCCGTCCGCCCCTGCGCCGGTGGTTCACTGTGACAATGCAAATCAATTTTGTGCACGCTTGTTATTACGTCGCTCATTCTTCTTTGTTACGTTAAAATGATACATACGTTACCGATACATACGTTACCATGAAGCGTGTAAATATTTATTTATTCTATTTTCTTTGGTTGCCTTTCGTTTTGTGGGCCAACACTTATGTCTCGGTATGTATCGGTAACGTATGTAGA